ACAAATTAGAAATAGCTTGGTAGCGATCACCCTTCCCAGGGGTTATTATCATCCATAAATTCTTTAATATTATAATAACCCTTTTTATACAAACTTAGTTTAATAAAGTTTTTGAACTTTGTGTATGTCAAATTTTGTATATTTAAACAAAGGTAAATGGTAAGTACAGTAATAATAATGTCCTCCAAACCGAATTTCGGCCACGGCGGCCTGCCTCAACGGAGGCTAGCCATCGGCGCAGGACAGGATTATAGTGCCCAAGTGTATGCGCAAGCACAGGTGCACTCTCTCTTCCCTCACTCTCATAATCCGATGGGACGGTAAACCGACACGACCGGAGAGAGATCAGGCGCAGGACCAACGGCTTTATTTCCGAGGCGTGATTTCCGAGGCACGGGGCTAAGACACCGCCAACTTCCTGACTCCCGGCAGCTGTTGAGAGTTTCTTGACAGAAAAATTCAATAATTGTTTTTTTGGCCCGACCCGGGATTTGAACCCAGGACCTCACGATCAGCAGTCGCACTACTACAACCACTAGACCAATGAGGCAGTCAACGAGGTAATTATAGTACCTAACATAACAACAGTACAGTACCTATACATAGGAAACATAATATCTAATAGGTATTCTACTGCTGTTAGCCTACCCATTCATACTGCAGACATAACATACGCTGTAGCGTGGCTCATCATAAGATCGAGTAATTTGGATCGAGAGTGAAATGTTGTTAGAGACTAATTTAACATTTAGTAATTATTATGACGTCAAACCGGGTATAAGGACGATGAAAAAGCGTGACATACCGAGCTAAATAATGTAGATAAATTAAGAGAATATGTGGCATCGACTTCAGTATAACCTTGATTAGCCACACAAACTTCCCATCTCTGTCATATGGACCGTTCAAGTAACAAGCATAGTGGCACTGAGATCCAACCGATTTTTCCACATATTGGGCGACATCAGTAGTTTATACTACTTGTCGGGTGATGAGGTGCTAGTTGTCGTTAGATTCGTATTCATCTCCTAGGGATCACAGACTATTTTTTATGATGTTAATATCATAATAATTTTTTACAACGCTCGCAAAACATTACATCTATTAATATACCTTTTGTGAAACTCAATTTGATGTAATTATCACATTGACTAATACTGCAGTCGGGTTGTTTTACATTTTAATAATAGTTTGTCAACACATCAAAATAATGTAAAAGAAAAACCACCAACATTTCCTCAAATCCTATAATCCAAGTTTATTAAGTCCGAAATTTTATATTGCTGTTTCTTCTCCTTTTAGAGAAACTTTAACTGAGATAAAAGAAAGCATCTTTAACAAATGAAATTTATTTTTCTACACTGCAAAATATAGAGACTTCACTTTATTTTATTATAATATTATTTATATTTCATAACAATTCAAAAATAACGATTGTTGACATTCCACGCGTTTCAAACCAAGCGGTTTGCTTCGTCTCTAGAAATGCGTACAGCAATGGAAAGGAACATTTTGTCAGCATCAGTCATCATCAAAGCAAGAAAGAAAGAAAGAAGAAGGATGAAAATAGATTGCATGCGAATGAAATGAGAATGTTACGATGGATGTATGGTGTGACAAGGATGGATAAGATAAGGAATGAGTACATAAGAGGAAGCCTGAAAGTAGCGCCAGTGGTAGAAAAGGTGAGAGGAAGCAGATTGGCATGGTTTGGGCATGTGATGCGGAGGGATGAAAGTCATGTCACAAAACGAGTGTTGAATATGAATGTGGAGGGACACACGGGCAGAGGAAGGCCGAATAAAAGATGGATCGATTGTGTGAAGAGTGATATGAGAATGAAAGGAGTAAGTATGGAAACGACGGCTGATAGAGAGGAATGGAACAAGAAGATTTACTGCGCCGACCCCAGATAATGGGAAATGGTTTAGAGAATGATGATGAGTCATCATCAAAGCAAGAGTAAAAACGCTTTTGTCAAGCTAAGTCCTTATACTTTGCCGACTTCGTTTACATTCATCGACGCCATTTTGACAGTTGACATTATAAAGTTAAAGTAAAGTAAAGTTACAGCCTATATACGTCCCACTGCTGGGCACAGGCCTCCCCTCATTTCTGAGAGGGTTTTAGGGCAAGGAAATGTTCGCCGCGCTGCCCCAATGCGTGTTGGCGAACTTCACATGTCTTCGAAATAATTTTTTTTCTTATTCCTCAAACATGCAGGTTTCCTCACGATGTTTTCCTTCACCGCCGAGCACGTGGTAAATCAGCACTTAAAATTGCAATTAACAATTTCATTGGTGCCGGCGGGGATCGAACCCGGGTTACTCGCGTTCTGTTATATTTAGAGCGAGCGTTAACCATCTGAGCTACCACGGCTCTCATATTATTTGGCATTATAGTGAATAAATAATTTGGAAAATTTTGGTGTATGTAGTGTTGTTAGTTTTTTTAAGTAAAATTTTTGAAGGGTTCCCAATAATTGCCAAAGCTTTTTTGCTATTTATTTTTAATATATTGGCTATAGTATACGACTTTGTGTTTTTATCTCTGTCTTCCTCCTAGTATCGGTTTTGTAGGGCGGCAAAGCTTAAGAGGTGAGAGTAAGTCAGTAAATATATGTATGTACGAATGTTGTAATCACTTACTTAGTATTCTTATTTCATTGGTTTTTTTGCCGTTTCTCCACCCAGTCTTTTTTTTATAATTCCCATTTTTACGTTACTGTTGCGTAAGGTGTTTTCTGATCGTAAGCGAAAACTTTTTATTAACTCTCTCTTATTTAAAAAGACGTACTGCGTTCGCTTAACCGCTTGCGTGAGAGTGAGTGCTTGCTTGGGTGAGAATATGGAGCAAATCAACCCATCTATAGAATTTTTAAGGGAAGAACCCTATATGGACTTTTTACGGGCAGAAAATGAAAAATAAAAAGATAAAACTATAAATAACCTATCAACGATATTATAAAATGGTAAAGAATTATTTAGCATTCTAAATTTAAAAGTCGGGTGAAAATATTTTAAGGGGAATTAACGCTGCGAAGGTCAGTAACAGAGTTTTAAATATTGCTTCTGTGACCTAAATACCAAAATATACGTTGTAAACAGTTTTAATATTAACTGAAATAAAACAAAAGCTTAGAACCTTTACAAACCACTTATATGAAGTTTGTGATTATAATATGTACCTAAGTATACCTACGTTGTATTTGGTAGATATAATATCTTTTTACAAAAAATCTGTATAATTCATATTATAAAACACATTTATTACATTATAAATAATTACGTGTTCATGAAAGGCACATTAAAGTTAATTAAGAAACCTTCATTGCTGCTTCCTAACCGTAGACAAAATTGTTTTCGGCCAAAAGCATTTGCAAGGTGTCGTCGCTCTGGCAACGCTCGCTTTGCAAACTACAAACAAAAACTTACTCTACCTCCTAATCAACTTTTTATTTTTTAATTCAATTACTTAACAATACGAAGGATAATTATTATTGTTATGCGTTCTTATTTATATGATTAAACAATATTTTGGTTTCCTTGATGTATTACTACGTGTTATTTAATATAATTCTTCTTGTTTACTCTTCGTTAAAATCAAATGTTAGTACATATTTTCCTATTGGGTTGTATTTAAAAACTGCCAACCCACATACTAGGCAGTCGCGCATTCCGGACCGAAACAACGTTAGATGAATATCAACAGTGCCATTCTTAACGGGACCTCGTTTGACTTGTTTATTGCGATACAAGCGCTGATTGTTGCCATATTATTGTGACCTATTTAACCATAAAGCCCTTGTTAATGTTACTTACTCTTTTAAACGGAATGACAGTATACCTATGTAGTACCACAGTTTACGGAGAGTAGTACGAAGGTTGGGAGACGTGTACGTGGGCTATTTTATATACGTTTTCTTGTCTTTTTTCTTTTTAATAATATTAAGTTAAGTTAATTAAGTCTTTTTAATAATAAATGGCTAATACAGCTCGTGGTCACCAGTAACAAACTTCAAAGTAAGGAAGTGTGTTGTAACTGGTCGTAATTCTTAAGGACTAAGATGTCACACATCTTATATTTATAGGTACTGGCCTTTCAAACTGAAACATTGCAGTGGATGCACTTCTTCCTAGTGACGGTTAATTTACATTATCTACAAGTTCAAAAATTGAGTACCTCTGTGTCAAATGTCAAATTCCAATATTTATTAAACTATATATTAAAATGGACTATTATAATAATAATGAAATAAATCCATAAAACAACCCCTGGTTGTGATGTGGTTGGTGGCAAGCTATTTCTTATATAATTTATATAATAATTAATTGTAAAAACTTCGGCATGATTGTAGACTGCTCTTTGTTTAAAAAAAGACCTTTTACCTTAGCTGCTTGTTCTCCCAGCTTCTTGCTGTTTCTTCCAATAATGAAGTATTTTTCAAATCAGTATTATTTTTATGATTAAACTTAAAAATTACTCAAAGGAAAATGAGTTATCCATGTTAAATCGTCACCGTGTTTCAACCCAATTTGTTTATTGCTATAAAAATCAGCAACAGTTATCAGCTACTACGATAGCAGCAGTAGGTATTAAGAAATTTACCAAAATGAATTCAGTTAATGTACCTATTTCATATCTATACTAAGTATCTACTCTATCTATAAGTAGGTACATAAAATCTTTCGATATTAAGCACTTAATTCATGGCAATTTTTTAATTTTGAATTATTCAGGTAGTTCAACCTCTAGTCGAAGCCCTTCACAAGCACCAGTGCATGGTACGCACACAAGATAAATTTTTGTTATGATAGAGCAATAACATCAGTGTGTGTATGCACAAACATGGCACATAAACGAACACTTAATTCATGGCAACTTTTTAATTTATTAATCAGGCAGGTCAACTACTAGTCGAAGCCCTTCACAAACACCAGTGCATGCTACGCACACAAGACGAGTTCATGTTGTGATAGAGCATAAACGTTAGTGTGTGTATGCGCAAACATGGCACACAAACAAAGCTGAGACTTTGTTTTGCTGTTGAGATTCGCGCGTGGAGTTGCGCAAGCCCATTGGAGGCCATTGACTCGGTGGACGTGCGCGGCCGCCATATTGACGGCGCGGGCACGGTAATGGAGCGCGAATCCAGCGCCTTCTGTTCCGCGCGCTTTCGTAACATGTTTACACGCGGCGTCCGCCATCGTGATGCCAACTCCGGTTCATAGATTAACGGAATATCGATAACGAGTTGCCATTAACCCAATCACGCTAGTATCAATTCTGCACCAAACATGCGACTAACATATTGGTTGACTGTAGATAGTTAAAACGTTAAAAAGACATTAGTCTTGCATCACATTACCATACTTTTCTAATGAAGTCAGATTTTTTATAGGATAGGGTGACAAACGAGCACACAGTCCACCTGATGGTAAGTGGTTGCTGTGGCCCATAGACATCTACATCTATCCTCGTTTACGAATCAAAATGCAGATGCGTTGTCACCCGTGCGGACTAAGATGGAATGACTCGTTTCCAGTAAATTAGGGTCTCCGGTTCTCTACAATCACCATACGAAACACAGCAGCATTAAGCTACTATTTTACGCTGTTATTCTGTGAGAGCGTGGTCCTTCCCCGGTCGAGCCGACCCATTCGTGCTACAACTATACTACTAATATAATTGCAGCATGGCTCTACCACGTACAAAACATATGCATTTTTGAAAGATTTGCTCATACTCAATGTCTCTTATTGGAGCCTGTTTAATTTAGTGCAATTCTACCCCTTTTCTTTTCTTCTCACACAACAATTTTGTAAAACATCTATCACCACTCTTCTATAAAAATGTCACAATGCTGGGCACGTGGGTGCATAGCTACTGATACTCTTTAATAATTCTGCTTTTGTGTAGATTTTCTCAGCGATACTCTTGTATGAAGGTACGTGTATTAAATAATAAATAACGAGAAAAATAATTATTAATCGTTTTGGAAAAGGTGCTTTAAAGCGCTTTTAATAAACAGTTCATCCTTTTCCCCAACAATAGTCATAATTGTTTATTTCTCATTTGACCTTCCGAAATCATCTATTTAAATGAGTGAAATGTGTGAAATAGTAAATAGGTATCTAAAACGTCAGTGTTAGTCAAATTGAATAATTTCATAAGTATTCCGTTTATAGTGTTCACCTATGGATTACGGAACATCATTTTTTTTGCAAAACGATGTACTTTAATAAAATTTTGTTTGTTATAGGTATTTAATTTTTTTAGTTAGTTTTAAATAAAAGTGATTGTGTATTTAGCATAACACAGAATTTCGATTATGTAAATTTAAAAAATAACAGTAGATACGCGCACAAATAGGTAGGTACTTGTTATATTTAACAGCATCAAAGCTGACAAAGATTCTTCCGAGCGCATACAGTGCTCATATCAAATTTGCAAAACAATCTTTACCGTCGCATAGTCCATTTCTGACCTTTATATCACATTCAAACTCCTGTAACAGACAAGCGCGCAAAATTCAAAGATAATGTTATAGAGTAACATAATCCACATGCGTGTTGCAACGTAAAATGTGTTGTTAATTTAAAATGGAAACCTATTTTTCCTGTTGTACATTGCGCAAGAATATTCGCGAACAGATAACGTCGTACGTAGAGCGGTGCCCCTCCGTCCTCTCACGAGTCCGGTCCTCTTTAGCTCCCTCCCACTTACCGACTGTTCGTATGTCTATCACACTCCGATGCTATGACATAGATACCGATAGGTACAGTTGCGAAAGAGCGCGGATTATAGTATAACAGGTGGAATGTGCCACAAACTAGTTCAAAAACTGCTTTCACGTCACGCATTTCCATTATGCGCTCAAATACTAACTTTTTAAATGTTTTCTATTAAAACAATTAGTCGCTAACGTCGCAAAGGGGCGAACTTTATTTTTTTTTTTTTTAATTACAGAAGAGCAAGAAAACATTTATTATTGCCCGATTATTAGTTTTTATTTCATCAGAAAATTTAAAATATTGGATTTAATAGAAAACTACAAATACGATTAATTTTCTGTTGAAATAAAGCTAGTAATCGAGGAATAATAAATGTTTTCTTGCTCTCCTATAATTTAAAAAAAAAATTAAGGTTCGCCCCTTTGCGCCGTTAGCGACGAATTAACTAAATATGCAATAACCAAGCATTTATTTTAGAACAATGGTTGGTAATAGAAATAATTGAATTCCTGACGTGCATTTTTTATTTCTAAATTTAACCGATTATTATTGTAGATGCGTAAATTTGTTTTACATTTTTGATTTCTGATTACAAACATTATGTAGTTAAAGACTAATTGATTTTCAATTAATATTTTTAAAAAAATATAAAATATTTAGTTATGAGTAGGTATTCTTATTTGCCCTGATTTCGTATACCTACTTAGTTATTTTTTACTAGGTAGGTAGGTATATCATTATTCTACAAATCTTCACCGATAGGTACCTACTATCTAATAATATATTTGTGGAAACATAAAATGTTACTTTCGTATTTAAATGCAGGAGTTTTATGGATCCCTAAGTCTCTGTCATTGGGGTATCATTATTATTCCCTTAACCAACAACCATTAATCCTTCACAAGCCCGCTCCTAAACATCCGCTTTCCCCAATGATATACCTACCACGAAGCCGTAGCCGTATTACCGTTGTGTGGCACTAGATATTTTTTTATAGGGTAGGGTGACAAACGAGCACACATTCTACCTGATGGTAAGTGGTTGCTGTAACCTTTATCCGGGCTTTTGAACGTAAATTCGCTACAGAAGCCCTGGGATTGAACGAAAATAAATTGCGCATTCTGGCAAAAGCCTTAACTGAACACTGTTGTCTTAAAAAACACATGTCCATCCTGGGACTAAGCAACTCAAGAATGTGTCGATTCTGTTCCATAACGGAAGAAACACTTCTGCACATTCTAACTGATTGCGGACCCTTAATGCGCAAACGTAACACTCATCAATTATGTTCTCCGCCCAGAAATGAAATGCTCACAGCTAAGCAACTCCTTCTATTCATTGAAGACATAGGGCTTAGCAGTGAACTATAGCCACAGTAGCGATCCCAATAGATCTTTTAGGGCGCAGTGATAGGTACTGGCCTCCTTACCTAGACCTGCATAGCTGCTCGCACATAATAAAAAAGTGGTCGCTATGGCCCATAGACATCTACATTTAACCTCGATTACGAATCGAAATGCATACGCGTTGTCACCCACGAGAACTAAGGTGGAATGCCTCGATTCCAGTAAAAAGAGTCTCCAGTTCTCTACATTTACCACACGAAACACAGCAGCGTTAAGCTACTATTTCACGCTGGTGTTCTGTGAGAGCGTAGTCATTCCCCGGTCGAGCCGACCCATTCGTGCTAAAAATATACTACTAATATAACTGCAGCATGTCTCTGACACCCCATAACTTTTAATAACTTAAGTTACTGGTTTAAACAGCGCCATGCTCGAAATCTACCAGGAGAATATAATCAGTGCTGGATTTTAATATTTTAATTATTTTTCTTGACGATAATGTTATTAGTACCCACGTATCTGAATATTACTTAGATAATTTGCGAGTAGCTAAACATATAGTAATATAAAAAGGATGAAAAGGAAAGATAAATACATGAACTTTTATCTTACAAGCCACCTGCATGCGATGCATACTGCTGCTAAGTGCTAACTAGTATACACTTGTATATGCAGTGATCCATGGCGATTACTGACAGCAAAGACTGACCGACTGATGACGACGCAGTGTCAGGCACACACTTTGAGTAGTCAACCAACTTCTCAAAGGGCACACAAGAACAACACACAGTACGTATTTAAACGCCATAACTGTAACTAATCATTAGCATTTTTGCTCAAGTGTTGGCTCTGAAGTAGTGATACTGGTCTCTTAGCCACATTTGCCTTCCGAACGAAGATCCGAGGACCCGCTTTAGTATATTTATTATAAAATTTCAATATATACACTGAAATTGTTGTTTGTAATCTTATATAATGATTTTCCATATACTTACTTGACGCTGAAGGAAAACAGCATGAAGATAAATATTTTATACCGGTGTTAAGGGGGAATATAACCTCAAATGCCTTAGCAAGATCCTCCGTTATATCGAAAATATTGCAGCATTAATTTTGAAATAAATATATGGTAAAGTTGAGGATTAATGTTAAGTACTATGTTAGACGAAAACAAGATTCCGCAAAATTTTCCCGATAGAAAAAAAATACAAAGTTACCTGCAAACTGAACAATAAACCGCTGGTATTTATAAAATAGTTTAAATTAGATCATGAAACTTTGCATACTAACTGAACTAACTATAAAGCAGGGCTTATGTTTTTTTATTTTTTTAAATTACCATTATTTTCACTGTAAAAAGAAATTACCTAAACTATCGGCGTCCTGAAGCTTGGAATCAAGAAAAAAGCTTGACAAATGGGTGCCCCTCCAACTTAATGATCGCTAGCGCGAAGTACGCGTCGAGGCGTGGCTTGCACAGCTCAACGGGCACACAAACGAAGGAATTTTGAACCGCATTACGAGCTCTCAGCAAGTTGGTTGGATTCTGGTTCAGCACCTAACAAAGCCAACGAAATCTTACCCCGAGAAAAGTGATGGTCACTGTTTGGTAATCTAGCGCCGGTCTGATTCATCACAGCTTCTTACCAAACTGGACGAGAATTACTGCGGATGTGCACTGTGAAGAACATAACACAATGGTGGAGAAGCTCGCAGTCGCACCTCTCCAACTAACTTTAGTCAGTCACTCGTCCCCGCTGTTCTTGCACGACAATCGACAACGCGCAATCTCATGCTGCACAATAGAGGGTCTCCAAGTTACAAGAACTAGGGTTGGAAGCTCTCCTTCATACCGACGTACTCATCGACCTTGTGACCTTGTGCCTACAGACTTATAAATTTTCCAGAAATTGGATAACTTTTTGGCGGGAAAAAATTAAATACACGAGAGGCCTTTAAAGAATTTGTTACAGCCCGTCCATCTGATTTCTTCAAGAAGGGCATCAATAAATAATTACTTTGATTAATAAAAATAAAAAATAAAGAAAAAGTTATCTTAGCTTATTTCATAAAAGACGGCAATTTCATAAGTAAAAACGGACAAATACAGGTACATGTGTTATGTTAATGATTTATGTAATATTGTTTCTT